TACTTCTGTTCCTCACTGTACATGTAGTTATTGGTGGTGACTGTCTTTGCTCTCAGTTGATTAAAATAATATCTCTGTGCTACTTTTTATGCATTTCTTATGTGTGTGAATGTTGCGTGCACTTGATCCAGGACAGAGACTGTGCGCTGTCGCAAGAGGAGGTGAAAGACTTATTCAAGAGATTGCCCTACATGCCCTGGGGTCCAGACGTCAACAGCACGGTTTGCACCAATGATCAGGGATGGATCACATACCAGGGATACCTCTCCCAGTGGACGTGAGTGTGGAAAGTATCTGTTAATAGACATACACATGCACATGCTTATGTTAGTTTCATGCAATCTAAATGCATTCACTCTGTGTCCTCTGCAGACTCTTCTTGACCTGTGTGTTTTCTGTGGCAGGTTAACGACATATCTAGATGTACAGCGTAGTTTGGAGTATTTAGGTTACCTGGGCTACTCCATCATTTGTGAGCAAGAGTCCCAAGCAGCTGCTATTACAGGTGAGAGATCGCAGCTTTGCATGTTTCTTACAAAAACAAGTAACAACAAATAGTAATAGACACATTCTGTACAGAATAAAGCTGCTATTGTTCATTTGTGTTCTTGCATTATCTGTTTTTACATTCACTCTGGACATGTAATACATCCTAGTTGTAGCAGTGTCCTCTGCAGACTCTTCTTGACCTGTGTGTTTTCTGTGGCAGGTTAACGACATATCTAGATGTACAGCGTAGTTTGGAGTATTTAGGTTACCTGGGCTACTCCATCATTTGTGAGCAAGAGTCCCAAGCAGCTGCTATTACAGGTGAGAGATCGCAGCTTTGCATGTTTCTTACAAAAACAAGTAACAACAAATAGTAATAGACACATTCTGTACAGAATAAAGCATTTGTGTTCTTGCATTATCTGTTTTTTCAGTGACACGTAACAAGCGCATTGATCTGCAGAAGAAACAGACCCAGCGCAGCGTCTTCTGCTGTAATGTCTTGGGGGCACGGGGCAGCGGGAAGAGGCGCTTTCCCCAAGC